CTGTCGCCATTTTCGAGCCCTGCTGGGGGGCCAGCACAGTGAGGGCCACGGGCGGATTCAAATTAGACCTCGCCATCCCTGGGGGGCTGCGATCTGCGAAACTGTCGCCACTTTCGAGGCCTGCTGGGGGGCCCAGCACAGTGATGGCCAGGGGCGGACCCAAATTAGACCTCGCCATCCCAGGGGGGCTGCGATCTGTGAAACTGTCGCCACTTTCGAGGCCTGCTGGGGTGCCCAGCACAGTGAGGGCCACGGGCGGACCCAAATTAGACCTCGCCATCCCTGGGGGGCTGCGATCTGCGAAACTGTCGCCATTTTCGAGGCCTGCTGGGGGGCCCAGCACAGTGAGGGCCACGCGCGGATTCAAAATAGACCTCGCCATCCCTGGGGGGCTGCGATCAGCGAAACTGTCGCCATTTTCGAGGCCTGCTGGGGGGCCCAGCACAGTGAGGGCCACGCGCAGATTCAAATTAGACCTCGCCATCCCTGGGGGGCTGCGATCTGCGAAACTGTCGCCAATTTCGAGGCCTGCTGGGGGGCCCAGCACAGTGAGGGCCACGGGCGGACCCAAATTAGACCTCGCCATCCCTGGGGGGCTGCGATCTGCGAAACTGCCGCCATTTTCGAGGCCTGCTGGGGGGCCCAGCACAGTGAGGGCCACGGGCAGATCCAAATGAGACCTCGCCGTCCCTGCGGGGCTGCGATCTGTGAACCTGTCGCCACTTTCGAGGCCTGCTGTGATCCCCGTTTCGAAGTGGCTAGGAGTGCTCAGGAATTGTAAATCATCAGCTTTATCAAGCCCTTTTCCTGTAGCCAGTGTCCTGCGAGTCTCCCGAATTCCGTCTGCAGACATATGTAACCCTCGCTCCGTCATCGCCCCCTTATAAAGTATCCAAAACAATTTGCGCCCCGCTTTTGCGCAGGTGTTGGCTACGTCGCCAGGGTAATTTTTTTCCGCGGGGGTCAACTTCCGCGGCGGCCCGGGAAGCCCAGGACCCTTGGGCGGCGCAATTGTTGTTGTTTGTTCCTTCCTTCCTTCCGCGCGCGCGCGCGCGTATTGCCACTGGAGCCCCTGAGCCCCCTGCCGCTCCCAGGCCCCGAGAGGAACGATCTGGCCTCGCAGGCCTAGAGGTTGACACCAACACCAATATCGGCGGTGCTCCTCCACCGAGGAAAGAAGATCCCGATCTCGGTGATGGTGGTAATATTCTGGCTTCAAGGTGACCGAAATATTTCCACCAACACCGAAATCTGGGATCATCTCTCCCCTGTGGAGGCAGCCTCCTGTCTTGGTGTTGGTGCTTATTTTCAGGCCTCCAATGGCCCGAACGATGCCAGAAATAGTTTGGCCCGCAGGGTTTTGCCGGCCGTGGCCTTCTCAAGAGGCGTGGCAGTTTTGCTTTCTTCGGGCGGGGCCAGCGGCGGTGCGGGCAGCGGCGGTGTGGGCCTCGGTCTTGTGGGAGCGCGTGGCCCGCGCCTGCCTGCAACTCGCTGCGTCGTGCTCGCTGGATCCATCCGCAGCAGCTTGGGCATGTAGGCTCTGCACGAACGAGATGGGTACGGAAAGAATGGGTACAATGCCCAACAGCGATTCCTGTTCATTTTGAAGAGGATTCGCTGTCGGTGTCGCCGCGGCCTGTGTACATTTGAGACAGAAGGCCGCCGGCCCAACAGCGGCCGCTGTTGGTTTGGGACATGTTGTTGGGCATCGTACCCATTTTTTCGGTACCCATGTCGGGCGTCCAAATAGGACAGTGTGGTTCGTGGTTTCCTACAAGTTGGTTCCCACCATCACCGTGAAGCAACATCGCCGTTGGCCCAGCCTTGGGACAAGGAGAAATCCGTTCCAGAGCGCTCCGAAACGCTCTCAGAGCGTTCCGGAGCGCCCCCAGAAGGCCGCGGCGCCCGAGACATCCTCCAGAGCCGCCAGATCTCCGAGATCCTCGATTCAGCCTCACCCGATGGTGGCCTGGTCCTGGCTTTTAGTCGGGCGTGTCCCTCTACAGGAGGAGAATTCAAAAACAGTCCAAAATTATTCGGGGGACATTTTTCTTGAACTTTTGATTCGAATTGGGCATTTTTTTACTATCTTTCATTTGTCCTCCAAGATTTCGCCTGTACCTATGGGGCCTCAAAACGCTGTACTGAATGGGTGAAAATGCACAATAAAATGTTTCGGGACGCATGCGGACGCTGGTACTGGCGCCTTCGGTGGATCTCCCTATGGGGCCACGAAGCGTTGTATTGGGCGGGCGAAATGCAGGGAGGAAAGAGGGGGAGGAGGGAGGAGGGGAAGGAGGAGGGAGGGAGCGAGGAACGCGGGGCGCTGTACCTTCAAAACGAGGACCCGGCACCACAGGACGGTTGGGAAGTAGTCAAAACACAGTCTGGGGACGATGCCCCTGATTTGTTTTGACTATCTTCAGTTACTTTTGTCGGGGGTGGACAGAGCCCCCGACAGTGACACGTCGATTAGTGAATTGTCCTTTCTCGGTTCTCGAGAGGGCGCCGCGGCGGTTGTCTTCCTGGCTCGCGCCCGCCAGGTTTGGGCCTCGGGTCGTTTTCACTAAACCACGTTTTACTAAAGGGAGGTCTGTCCATCCCCGATTTTGGGCAATTGTTCTTTTTTCTTCCAAAATCTGCCTGTACAGTAGGGGTCTTGAAGAAGGAACCCTTTTCGTTGGGGAGGGGCTCCGTGTTCCTTAATTGTTTCGCAGCTGGCCTCAGGTTTCCCTTATGTTTTCGACAGGAAATCGAAGTTCAACTTGTGGAAAAAAGGGGCCTCGTTCCTTATTTCGGGTTCCTTAGGTCAACGCCTCGACGGTACTAAAGGGAGGTCTGTCCATCCCCGATTTTGGGCAATGACTCCTTTTCCTTCCAAAACCTGCCTGTAGGAGGACATGCCGCCGAGGCAGGGGTTTCTAATCCGTTGCCACCGCCTGGGGCATCGAGCTCCGAGGGCCTCGACAGGCGGCAGCCACGGCCTGCCATCGGCGGGCGATCGCGAGCATGGCTCAAGGGGGCGTGAAGTACAGTCGGGGCCCTGAAGAAGGAACCCTTCTCGCTGGGGAGGGGCTCCGCGTCCCTTAATTGTTTCGCAGCTTGCCTTGGATGTTCCTTATGTCTTCGATCGGAAATCGAAGTTTAACTTATGGGAAAAAGGGGCCTCGTTCCTTATTTTGGGTTCCTTAGGTCAAGGCTCCGACTGTAGCGGCGGGTCCCGTTTCCATGGGGAATCGCGGAGTTCCGCCGCCGAGCGAGGCGGCACCGGCCGCACCCCTCCCCCGATCCATGGATTTGGCGACGGCGCGCCGGATCCACGGATCGCGAATCCATGCTTGCGCGCCCCCGGCTCAAGTCGGGCATGCCCTTCTACAGGAGGACACTTCAAACCAAAAAATGAAGAGATGTCTGGGGACGATGTTTCTGATATTCTGTTGGCGATCTTCAAATATTTCTGGCCAGAAATACTGTAAAAGATGTGCGGGGACGATGCTTCTGATATTTTGTGGGCAATATTCAGGTATTTCTGGCCCAGAATGATGTCAAAGATGTATGGGGACGATGTTTCTAATATTTTGTTGGCAATCGTCGAGTATTTCTGGCCAATGTGTTTTTTTCTTCCAAGATCCGCCTGCAGGAGGGGGCATGCCCGACGTAACACCTGGGGGGGGGGGGGGCTCGGCAGGCGGCGGGCACGGCCTGCCCTCGTCGTCACCCCAGCATACTGATACTACAGTGGGGAGGTCCTCCTCCTCCTCCTCCTGCTCCTCCTCCTCGTCCTCCTCCTCCTCCTCCTCCTCCTCCTCCTCCCCCCTTCTCCTCCTGCTCCTCCTCCTCCTCCTCCTCCTCCTCCTCCTCCTCCTCCTCCTCCTCCCTCTCCTACCTATGGTGGAGGTGGTGGGACATGGGCCCATCAGAGGAGGCAGGGCGAGCAGGAGAGGACGGACCCCTCGAGCAGGGAGGTGGAGGGGCACGTTTTGGACGCCCTGCGCAGCACCGCGCGCACTGAAAAAGCGAGGCCTTCATTACAGTGGGTGCGTGTGCCAAGAAACCAGTTGGATTTTGCCAGGTTGCCCTTGGTTTCTTGGATTTCGGTGGACCCCCAACAAGATCTTGACGATTCTCGATCGACAACTTTGGATTTCCACGGAACACATCGCGGATTTCAGGGTTGGGTTTTTTGCGGAGGTTATTTGTGGCCGAGCCCCCACTGTACAACCCTCGCCAAAGTGAACCTCAAACATGTCTAACGTGGTTGAACTGTTTGCGGGGAGATACTGGACAGAGTAGCGGTGACTGCGAGGTACTTGTATGCGCCGCCCCCCCAATGTCGTTCATCATCGAACTTCCGAGTCGTTTCTGGTCAGACCACTTTTGCCTTGCCCCGACATTGGAGGGGCGTCTGTCGACATTGAAGGGCGCGCCGACATCGCAGTGTTGTGGTCGCCATTTTTAAGGTTGATTTTGACGAGGGTAACGTGTGCGCGTGGCCCCCCCCAGGGGCGACGCTCGCACCGAGAGATCTTGCAGTGTATGCGTCGAGGCGGGCACTTTCTGGCAACACCGCTCGGAAAACGATATGCTACAAAATGGGTATACCATATGTTCAGGTCGGACTCGCGCCTCCAAGGAGGACATCTAGTGCTAGTATGTCTCCGTGCGTCCCATACCAGGGTCACCGAAGATCGATCTCCATGTCGGGAGCGAAAGAAGGACGTACACGCACATGAATCCACGTTGGTTTCGAGAACACGCATTGCGCGGACGTTGGCACCACGTGGCCAGCCTCGCGGATAGGAGGGCCGTGTTCATGTACGTGGTTGTCTGCGTACGTCCCTCGTGGGCTCCTTACCTAGGTGGTGTATATATATATATATATAGATGTATGGGTAAATCCAGACTTCGCACTATCGACGAGCAATCGGCGATGTAATCGCCGATTCCAGGTCGCTGCCTCCCCCCTGGGCCAGCCCACCCCCGTCGACCCCCCTTCGGAGGCGCTCAGGCAGAGGCTGCAGGCGGACCCCCAGGCAGCGGCGGCGCGGAATGGAAGCAGGATCGAGAACCGAGGATCGTCGAGGTCAGTCGAGGATCGAGGATCCCAGACATCGGGCGTCTCGAAAGAATCGAGACGGAGGTTTTTCGTCATTTTCGGTCTCCCGGGGTCCTCGCTGGGCCTCGGGACCGTCAAAAAACGACTCGGGATGAAAAACTGGTCCTGGGGAAGTGGTCGGGAGGTCGGGGGCCCGTGTCTCGAAAAAATCGAGACGTCGGATGTCTGGGATCGACGTCGCCGCTTCGGATGTCTTATGGGGCGACGTTGGGGGTTCTCGTCGCCATGTTTGGAAGCACCTCGAGCAGCTGGCCAGGGCGAACTCCAGGAGAGGTCCGGAGACCGATCTTGAGCAGCTTTCCCGTCACCGCTACGGTCGGTGCGCCGCCGCGCTGACGCGGCGGCGACCCCCAGCGCCAGCGCTCAAGGCTGCGCGTTGCCAGTGTCCCGGGATCGGCCGACATCAAGCGACCCGCGCTGCCGGGAAGCCGCGATTTTGCCTGCGACGAGGCCGCGGGCACACCCGCAGGTGGGAGGATGATGATGGGCAAACTTTCCACCACCACTACCATATGTAGGACGGGGGAGAAGGGAGGATGAGAAGGTCCTCCTCCTCCTGCTCCTCCTGCTCCTCCTGCTCCTCCTGTTCCTCCTGCTCCTCCTGCTCCTCCTCCTCCTCCTTCTCCTCCTCCTCCTCCTCCTCCTCCTCCTCATCATCATCCTCCTCCTCCCTCTCCTACCTATGGTGGAGGTGGTGGGACATGGGCCCATCAGAGGAGGCAGGGCGAGCAGGAGAGGACGGACCCCTCGAGCAGGGAGGTGGAGGGGCACGTTTTGGACGCACTGCGCAGCACGGCGCGCACTGAAAAAGCGAGGCCTTCATTGCGTGGTCCCTGATCCGACGCGGGAATGTATACCCAGAGATCCAACGCATTGAAAAAATCAAGACGCAGGTTTTTCGCAATTTTCGGCCTCAAGGGTCCCTCGCCAGGCCCCGGGACCGTCAAAAAACGACTCAGGATGAAAAACCGGTCCAGGGGAATGGGTCGAGACTTCCGGGGATTCAGTATTGAAAAAATCACGACGTCGGATCTCTGGGTACATGACCAGACCACCGCTTGGAGGGTCAATTTTCGGGGACCTCGGCAGGCGGTGGATACGGATAGATTCGGGCCCCCGGGCGCCAGAACATTGATTATATATATATATATATATATATATATATATATATATGTGTGTGTGTGTGTGTCCGTACCCGCCGCCCGCTGGGGCAACAGGACGTCGCTTCCCAGGCGGTAGATGTGGATAAATCCCCGCCTCGCGCCGAGCACGTAGACCACTCGCTCCCCGAGCGCCAGAGTGTTCATCCCGAGCCGTGCTTGATGGCCTCCGGGCCAGGCCGGGGCCCCCTGCTGGGGAATAGGGTGGGGGCGGCCTCGAGGTTCGAGTCTTGAGCGATGTGACTCGTTCAAGCTGCGGCCCCGGAGCTCCAGTAGTTGGACAATAGATTCGAACCCTTACACACTCGAGGGAGATTCTAAGTCACCCCCGCGCCCCCGACATCAGTGTTGCTCTCAGTAAAGGCGGTGCTGTGAGGGTTCGAGTATTTCTGTCCACTCACGCCCACCCCCGTCGCCACGCCATCGATGTTGATTACGGAGGGTCTGGGGGGCATCTCGGGCCACAGGGCATCTCGGTCCAGCCCTTTTCCCTGGAGGCAGCTTCCCGCCCCGAAGCGTGCTTGAATTGCCCCAGCGGCCCCCGGAACTCGAAATCCAGGAACGGCATTCTGGGTTGACGGAGCCGTCGTCCAGACGCTGAGATCGGACGTCGCAGCAAAATGCCATATCATCGACGTTCACGGCGGGAGACCTAAGACCCCCATGTTCTGCGGAATCCCTTGAGCCGGATCGATACATTTGGGTCCGAATCCGGCCGGAAACGCCTGGGGCCATGAGCTGACAACCTAGCACCCATACTTACGCGACACGCACATTTCTCGGGGTGGAATTCCAGGGGGGCCAAAATGGGTGTGTGTGTGTGTGTGTGTTGTCGGATGAGTGTGCCCCTTCGAACGAGAGCCCCCGACAATTCGCGCCCTTCCTCGCCGTGCCCTTCCCCGTTCCCCGTCCCTCTAGGTTGGAGCGCGCGCGGCTTTTCCATCGCGGCGCGAAGAAGCGGCGACGCCCGGATCTCGGGAGGTGCTCGAGCCCCGCCAGCCTAGGCTTCCCTAGTGGGGCCCGAGCAGATGGGGTCGGTGGAGCGCGCCGCGGCGCCGATGCATCGGGGATGCAACTCGATGTGGAGCCCGACTTCCTCCACGCCAGCGTCGCCGATGCATCGGCGGTGCGGCACGAGCCTCCGACCCCACCCGACCGCGACGGGTCTGCACATCCCCAGGGCGACGGTGTCTTCCTCTGGGGCCCGGAGGTGGTGCACTCGGCTCCTGTCGGGGCTCAAGAGACGGGGGTCAGTGCAAACGGGGGTCAGCCAGAGCACCGGATCCTGCAGGATCCTGCGAAGACCCCCTCTGGCTGACCCGGGTCAGCGAGCCGCTCGTGGCCGCGAGGCGGCAGCGCATATTGGCTGACCCGGGTTTGCGAAGACCTGCGTTGCGGTTTTTTCTTTCAAGGATTGCAGTTTGTTGGTTTGTTGCTGACCCGGTTCTGGATTGACCCGGGTCAGAAGACCCCGGATCTTGCAGATGCGCGCATGAGATACCCCTTGGCGAATCCAAGGAAGTTGGTGCGGATGCCGATTTGGTTTGGACGTGTGATGCGCCGGGTCCGATCTTCGCCCGCGCGGGTCCGACTTCGGATGCTGCGGATCTGATTCCCGTCCTGTCTTTTCACGCGGATCCGACGTGCACGCTGATTAAGATGGGTAGTCTGAAATGACATCAGGGGGCGGGCAGAAATCGGATCCGCGGCACCCAAGCCAGCCGCGGTCAAGATTGCAAAGGCCTTACGGCCGGTGCCGCCGACGCTGTAGGGGGACGACGACGACGACGACGACGACGCCGACGACGACGACGACGACGACGACGACGACGACGACGACGACGACGACGACGACGACGACGACGACGACGACGACGACGACGACGACGACGACGGTGGCGGCGGCGGTGGCGGCGGCGGCGGCGGCGACGATGACGATGCTGACGTGGGCCGGAGTCCTCAGGGATGCTTCGTGGGGTCTCGTCAGAAGGCTCTCAGGGGCCTCCGGGGAGGAGTTTTGGTGCCTCTTGGGGACCTCTTGGGAGCCTCTGGGGGGCCTCCTCGTGCTTCCTGGGGTCTTCTTCTGGGCCTCTTGGGAACCTCTTGGGGCCTCCTGGGAACCTCGGGGCCGAAGGCTCGAAATGTCCGTCCGGGTCCCCCGTCTTGGGTCCCCCGTCTAAAGGGGCCTCTTGGGGCAGTCTTGGAGGCATTTTGGGGCTGTCTTGGGGCCCTCTTGGGCTGTTTCGGAGCCCTCTTGGATGCCTCTTGGGCGGGGTGATCTTGGGGGCATCTTGGGCCATCTTGGAGCGGCGGGAAGTGGGAAAGGCGAGAACGTCCAAGATCCTTCAAAGCTCATGGGAAATTTGCGAAATTGCCTCCTGGGGCCCTCTCAGGAGTGCTCTTGGAGGTCTTTTGGGGTGTCTTCGAGGCTTCCTGGACAGTCTGGAGGGCGTGAAGGCGTTTTGGACCGATCGTTTGGCGTTTGGGGGGCTCCTTTGGACCCTCTCGGTGACCTCCCGGGGCACTCTTGGCCTGTCTTGCTCTTTTGGAGGCCCCTGGACCCTCAGGGGGGATGCGTATCTGACCCCTCCACCCCGGGACCCCCCCCCGTCCCGACGGGGGAGGGATCAAAGGGAAGGGGCTTCCTTTCGATTCGATTACGACATTGTTGGGAACTTTTTTTATTCGCTAGCATGCTCAAGGAGGGTGCAGGGAAAGGGAACGACGGCGACGACGACTGACGGAGACGACGACTCGGATGGACAAGCCCCTCACACACGCCGACAGGGTCGGCAGATTCTACGGGGGAAGGAGTTTTGGATCGAACTGCCACACACAGGTCGCGCGTTTTTTCAGGGACCCCATAACATTCCCCGCGCGCGGGTCGCACCCAACATGCCCGCATCTCCCTTCGCCCCCGGCTGCTGCAAGCATCTTGTCCAGACCTTGTGCGTCTGGCGGCGCCGATGCTCTCTGGCCAACCGTCCGCTGGCGCTTTAAGAAGAAGATGTTTCGTTCTGCGTGAGTGCGTTTTCGGCCTGCATCTCCTGGCCCAACGGACGACCTCTGGGCTGTGTCATGCGGAGTCGCAGTTCCTCACGCACGGCGCGGGCTCAATCGTCGCGCGTCCTGCGCGCCCGCGCGAGGGGTTTCCGCGCCTGGCACGGACTTCTGCGAGGACGTCTCGAACGGGAACTCTTGAATGTGCGTCGCGGGCGATGGAGGCGAGATGTGGCATGACCTGATTTCTGATGTTATGGATATGATGTTCGTCTTGTTTTCCACGCGGATCCGATGTATACCTCGGTTAGAATGGATACTATTCAGCGAAAGCAGGGGACGGACAGAAATCGGATCCGCGGCGCCCAAGCCCGCCGAGGTTAAGATTCTACGGAGGAAGGGGGTTTGGTTACGAGCTGCCAGACAGGTCGCGCGTTTTCTTCGCGGGCCCCAGCACCACTCCCCGCACGTGGGTCGCACCCAACATGAGCACATGTCTCCTCGCCCCCCAGCAGCTGCAAGCATCTTGTCCAGACCCTGCGCGTCTGGCGGTGCCGACGCTCTCTAGCCAACCGTTTGTCGCCGCTGGCGCCCGAAGAGGAAGATCTTTCGTCGTGCGTAAGTAGTACCCCCCCTCCAGTAGTCGGGGCATGGCTATTATCTGCGACAAAATGAGGAGGACAAGGACAATAACAATAGGAGGATCATCGGAGGAACAATAGGAGAAGGAGAATAGGAGGAGGGGGAGGAAGATAACAGGAGGGGAGGACCGGGATAATATGAGGAAAACTAAGAGGAAGGGGAGGAGGAGGAGGAAAAGGAGGAGGAGGAGGAGGAGGAGGAGGAGGAGGAATAATTGGAGGAATAACAGGAGGAATAGTAGGAGGGAGGGGGAGAGGAGCAGGAGGAAGACCAGGGGCAGGAGCCAGGGCAGAGCGCGAACCGGGGGGGGGAACGCGCGGAGTCCAGTGCAAGCCAAGCGGCTTGGTGAGGGGCCCGAGGGGACGATTGACCTCCCGAGGCTGCGGGGACACCACGCGGGGAGGTCCCCAAAAGAGGGCCCCGCCCTCGAGGACGGGCGGAGTCGTCATCTCGTCCTCGGCGGACGGTCGGCGGAGGGGCCCGGCAGGGCGAATGACCTCCCGAGGTGGTTGCGAGGACATCACGCGGGGAGGTCCCAGAGAGGGCCCCGCCTTCGAGGACAGGGGGAGTCGTCATCTCGTCCTCGGCGGAAGGGCGGCGGACGGGTGGCGGCAGGTCGGCGGAGGCAAGACGAGGGCGCCACCGCCGGCGAAAGGCTGGCGGAAGGCGGCGGAAGTAAAATGCGGTAGAGGGAAACAAGTAGTGGACACCCCCCTTGCCCCCCAAACTCACAGTTGGCACGCGCGGGGGAGACTGAGGTCGAGGTGCAACTCATCAGACCCTCCGCCGACTTTGAACATTGAGGGGAGGGGGAGGCGTTCACCGATGAATGTGGCATGAGTGTTCGCTATTTTTTTCGAGGCCTGGATGCGCCCCTACGAGATGAAAGCGTATTTGGGTTCAGGGTTTCCGACATCGCCCGCTTGAGCGGCGCAAGGAAACTGGGTCGTCCTCGCCGACGTCCGCGCGAGAGTTGGCCACGTGAGGTCGCGCGAGGCAGCGCCCCCGTCGCCAGTGTGGCGTGCCGCGCTGGCGGCCCGCGTGCAGTCGGGGCCCTGAAGAAGGAACCCTTTTCGCTTGGGAGGGGCTCCGCGTTCCTTAAGTGTTTCACAGCTTGCCTCAGGCTTTCCTTATGCTTTCGAGAGGAAAGCGAAGGTTCACTGATGGAAAAAAGAGTGGCCTCGTTCCTCATTTAGGGTTCCTTAGGTCAACGCCCCGACTGTAAGCTGCCGCGTGGGGTCGCCGCGTCTTCTTGCGCAAAGCCCGCTTGCCTTCGCCGCCAAGTTGGGCGGACTCTGCACGTCGCCTCGCCGCTCGCTCCCGCGCTCGGCCCTTCCGTCTCGGGCGGGGGGCGCTTTTTGGCCGCCCGGGCCTTCGCCGCCCCGCGCGCAGAGCTTGCCGCGGGTTTGCGGTGGGTGTGCCGTGGTGTCGGCGTCGTCCACTCGGGCGCGTCGAGAACAGAGGGTCACCACCCACCAAACCACCCCAACCCAACCCGGAGGCTTGAATCTGCCCTCGGTCTCCAGTGGTGTGGGGGGGAGGGGGTCGAGGGACCCTGACAAACACAGATGGGACCCATACCCCCCCCTCCCCCCAAAGCCCGAAACTCGGGGTCAAGTGCGGGTCGTCGGGTTGGGTTGGGGGTGGTCTGGTGGGTCGTCGGCTGGCGCGGCGACGTGCAGCGAGCCGGCGGGGGCTGGGAAGAGGAAGAGAAAGGAGGACGAGAGGGAGGGAAAGGAGCAGAAGGAGGAGGAGGAGGAGGAGGAGGAGGAGGAGGAGAAGGAGAAGGAGAAGGAGAAGAGAGGAGGAGGAGGAGGAGGAGGGGAGGAGAGGAAGGAGGAGGAGGAGGAGGAGGAGGAGGAGGAGGAGGAGGAGGAGGAGAGGAGAAGGAGGAGGAGGAGGAGAGGAGATGGAGAAGGAGGAGGGAGGAGGAGGGAGGAGGAGGAGGAGGAGGAGGAGGAGGAGGAGGGGGAGGAGGAGGGGAGGAGGAGGAGGAGGAGGAGGAGGGGGAGGAGGAGGAGGGGGAGGAGAGCGAGGGCAGCCCCCGCCCCCCCCCCGGCGGCGCGTGCGGGGCCCGAGGCCCGGGCGCCGCCCGCTGGCCCGACCGGCCGAAGTCCAGGCGCCGCGGCCGCGCCCCGCCGGAAGCCTCGTCCTTCTCCTCCTCCATCCTCCTCCTCCTTCTCCTCCTCCCTCCTCCCCCTCCCTCCTCCTCTCCTCCTCCTCCTCCTCCCCCCTCCTCCTCCTCCTCCTCCTCCTCCTCCTCCTCCTCCTCCTCCTCCTCCTCCTCCTCCTCCATCCTCCTCCATCCTCCTCCTCCGAGCCTGCGCGGCGTCCCCGTCGGAGAGGCCAGCGCAGTCAAGAGATCCAACGCATTGAAAAAGTCAAGACGGAGGTTTCTCGCAATGTTCGGCCTCGAGGGGCCCTCGCCGGGCCCCGGGACCGTCAAAGAACGACTCGGGATGAAAAACTGGTCCTGGGGAATGGGTCGAGACCTCCGGGGACCCCGTAGTGAAGAAATCACGACGTCGGACCTCTGGGAGTCAAGACGCCGAGATAGAGAACAGTTTGGCTTCGGAAGGGGCTCGATGCTCCTCAGGTTCCTCCGGTGCTGTTCCTCTGGCCCTCCTGGGGCACGGAGGCGCTCAAAAGGGCCAAGGAGGGGCTTCGTTCCTTATGTAGCGCTCCCTCTTTCAGCAGCCCGACTGTATTCCGAGGCGGGGATGTATCCAGAACCGCCGCCTATGGGATTGATCTTCGCGGACCTCCACAGGCGGTGGGTATGGACAAACTCGGGCCCCCAGGGGTCAAAATGTATCCACATCCACCGCCCGCTCGGGCACCAGGACGTCGGTTCCCAGGCGGTGGATATGGATAAGCCACCGCCTCGCAATTATCGGGTTGGGAGGATGGGGTTCTAGCCCGCCCAGATGGGGTCCGAGTACATGGTCACCGCCCACCAAGCCACTCGAACCCAACCCGGAGGCCCTGATTTGCCCTCCATTTCCACTTGGGGGTGGGGTGGGGAACATGGAAAAAACACACATGAAGCCCGTTCCCCCCCCCTCCCAACCCGAAATGTCAGATGGGGTCGGAGGAGGGCGCCGCATCGCCGATACAACGGCGATGCGGCTCGATGTGGGTCCCGTTTTTTTTTTTCCACGCCGACGTCGCCGATGCATCGCCGACGTCCCCGGTGCATCGCCGATGCATCGCCGATTTACTGGCAATGCGTCGGCGATGCGGCGCGACCTTCCGACCCCATCTACCCCGACCCTATCTGGGAGGCCTCTAGGGGGTCGTATTATCGAGCATGTTAAGGTGTTTGTTGCCCATTTGTTCCTGCATCTTTCCAGCTCCTTCCTCCCAACACGATAATTGTCCCTGTCGCCGGAGAGCTGGGCGCTGCAATTTTTGTCACCAGACAGTTTGGCCAGGTTTCGGGCCCCGTAGAACATCACAGCGTCGACGCCGTTCGAAAAAAAAGTGGCCAGGCGAGGGGGCCCAGGGGTCCCACTGTGCGATGTTCCGCGGTGCTGCGACTCCAACTGTCGCAGCGTCGGGGTGCAGGGTCGCTCGGCGTCCCCGCTCGCGTCGCGACGGAGCCTCTGCGACGGGAAGCGCTTCGCATTTTTCGGCTGTGCCGGCCCCCACTGGGCCTCGGGGCTGTCAGAAAACGGCACGGAGGAGGAGGAGGATGAAACGGAGGTGGAGTACGAGGACGACGAGGAGGCGGAGGAGGAGGAGGATGCGGAGGAGGCGGAGGAGGTGGAGGAGGAGGATAAGGATGATGATGATGAGGAGGAGGAGGGAGGAGGAGGAGGAGGAGGGGTGCAGGGTCGCTCGGCGTCCCCGCTCGCGTCGCGACGGAGCCTCTGCGACGGGAAGCGCTCCGCATGTTTCGGCTGTGCCGGCCCCCCCTGGGCCAGGAAGGGCCGCCGACTTCTCGACGGGCCCCTGCTGAGGAGGAGGAGGAGGAGGAGGAGGAGGAGGAGGAGAGGAGGAGGAGGAGGAGGAGGACGAGGAGGAGGAGGAGGAGGAGGAGGAGGGAGGGGGGAGGAGGGGGGGGGGAGGAGGAGAAGGGGTGAGAAGCCGGTCCACGGGAGCGGGTCGAGACGTCCGGGGTTTCCGCGTCGGGCGTCGTGGGCCCGAGCCCGCTCGGCCGCCGGGCGGGCACGGGATCGAGCCCAGCCGGCTGCCGAGCGGGCCAGCTCCGCGCGTCGGAGGGTCGAAGCCTCTCGGCGGCCCGTGCCGGTGGCCGAGGGGGCTCGTGCGCCGAACGACGTCGGAAGGGCTTTGGGGAGGGGCAGATCCTTTCATTGGAGGCCGGGGCAGATCCTTTCATTGGAGGGCAGTTTTCGTCACAAGCCTGAGGTTTTCAATGGTGTCGTCTCTCTGTTTCTTTCCTTTCCCAGCCATCCTGTGGTGTTGGGTCCTCGTCTTGGAGAGACGGTCCCCGCGTCCCTCCTCTCCTCTTTTCCGCTCCTCCTCCTCTCCTCCCCCTCCTCCTTCCCCCTCCTCTCACCTCTCGTTCTCTCACTTTGGCACACCCCTCGCACGCTTCGTGGCCCCATATGGAGCTCCACCTAAGGCCACAGCGGTGCAGTTCGTTTGGCGTCGCCGCCCCATTTTGGCAAGCTCCTCACGCGTTTCCCGGCCCCATAGGGAGCGCCACTTAGGTCCCAGCAGTTAGGCATGGCGGCGCCGCCTCATTTTGGCACACGCCTCACACGCTTCCTGGCCCCGTAAGGAGCTCCACCTACGGTCCCGGTGGCGCAGTTCGCATGGCGGCGCCGCCCCATCTTGGCACACGCCTCACACGTTTCCCGGCCCCATAGGGAGCTCCACCTAAGGTCCCACTGTTTGGCCTCGCGCCGCGGACGACCCGCGCGCGTCGCTGGGACCCTCTCGGTGCGACCAGCGCGCGTCGCGAGAACTCCGCGCGGCGCTCTGCCCAGCGCCTCGCTCGCCCGTCGTCGCTGTGCCCAGCGGCCGGACCCTTGCCCGCCATCAGCCGGCCAGCTAGCTTTCTTTGCTCCGCGCAGCGGACGACCTGCGCGCGTCCCTGGGATTCCTTCGGGGCGACTGGCGCACGTCGCGGGGACTCCGCGCTTCGCTGCGCTCGCAGCCTTGGACCTTGGAGTGCAGGGGAAAGAGGGAGAAAAACAAGGAAAGGAATCAGGCGCGATCCTCGTGAGGGGCGTGCCGACATGGGCGTCGCGTCGCGCGGGCGCTGCCGTCGGAGTTTGCGGGGGGGTCCCTGTGGCAGCCACGCTGAGCGCCACGAGTATTCAGAGCCAGGCATACGTGCTCGCATTCATGCAAGTAGACTCGCTCGCACGCAGACTCATTCACAATCTGACTCACTCGCGCTCAGACTCACCCGCGCTCAGTCTCTCGTACTCGGACCTATCGTCTTCGTTCGCGTTGTGTACCCCGCCACACATGTCGGCGCGCCCCTCACGCGGTCCGTGGCCCCATAGGGAACGCCACCGAAGACGATATTCACAATTTCGATATTCACAATTGCATATGGCTGGGTTCTTCGCCAGGCTATGCTGTTTCACTCTCTCTCTCTCTCGCTGTCTCTTTCTCTCTCTCTCTCTCTCTTTCTCTCTTCCTTTCTCCCCCCACACAGTGCTTGCATCGGGGCTCTTACTTGTTGCTCTCGCGGGGCTGGGCCTGGGTGCCGGTCGGGCGGCTCCGTGGTTGCAGTCGCCGCCCTGTCGCCGTTTCGTCGCCGCCCGTCGTTTGGGCCTGGGTGCCAGTCTGGCGGCTCGGTGGTCACTTTCGCAGCCGTGTCGCCGCCTAGTCGCCGCCCGTCGTCTGGGCCTGGGTGCCGGTCTGGCGGCTCTGTGGTCGCAGTCGCCGCCCTGTCGCCGCCCCTAATTTTCGGATCTACCCCCACTCGGACTTAACGCCGCACCTTTTTGTATTGTTTTTCGTATACGATTTTGCACATTCGTCCACCCAAAATCTGAAGTCATACCACGCCAGGTATTCCCTTCTTGGCCACCCATCCTCTTCGAAAAATTACATGCGCGCTTTCGCTTAACAGAACCACCTTTTGTCAGGAATTTCTTGCAACAGGTGGGACGAAGTGCGCATGCGCGCGTCGTCGCGCGAGCGTGCTGGAATCTTTCAAAAACGTCAGCTTTCGTGAGGAGCTCAAAACCGAATGCCCCGAAAACATGTTTTAATGGTTTGGCGACGCGGACTTTGGTGAACAAGCAAAACAAAAACCTGCGCTCGCGCTCTTGCCGTTTTTATTTTTGATACACAACAACATGTTATTTTCATCAGGTGCTACCAAAAGTGCCTCTCGCTCGCACGTGCACGTCGACGTCATCCGAACGCCAGCGTTCTCGAAAGGAAACACTGGCAAAACAACGCGCGTGCGGAAACCCTTCCAAAACATCAGATGTCGTAGCGACGTCAAAATCGCGCCTGGGGAACATATAAACAGAAACGTGGCTTTGCAGCACCAAGTTTCAAAACGAGTTTGCGCGCGCCCTCGGGGGTTCTTACAGACACCCGGATTTTCAGTATCCTTACCACATTCGACCAAAGGGCCTCTCGCGCCGCATGTCGAATCCATGCGAGCGCTTTTGCGCGCGTGCTGGGGGGGGGCACGATCTTGGTCAAATGGTGCAGCGCGGGCCACTCGCGCGCTTCGGCCGCGCGCGCATGTCGACATTCTTCCAAAACTTTCATAACCGACGCGGCGACACCGCCCTCGTCATCGGCGTGATCAGCATCGGCGCCGTAAGTGGCCAGGCTGTCGTCATCGACGTTCTCGTCGCCATCATGGCTACTACCATCGTCGCGTCTACGGTTGGTCGACGTCGACACGATACCGTGCCCAGCGGTCCGCGCCACCGCGGACGCGTCGGTCGCGCCAAATTAGATGGCCGCCGCGCGCGCGAGCATGCGCGGGCTAGCGCGGCCGCGGGGACGCACCAGCCAACGCCAGGTTCTCATCGCAAATGCCGCAGCATAGGTTTTGCAAACCAAATTGCGCGTGGGCGGGTGGGATGATTGAGCGAGCAGCGTCGTTGACGGCGCCGGGTTTTCTAAAAACCATTGCGCGCCATAGGTTGCGCAGCGTGGATATTCTTCTCT